ACTTGGTTTCTACTTCTAAAAGGTAGGAATTGAGTCTATACGGTAAAACGTCCAGTGTAATAATATTAAGTGTTGAGCCACAGAGTTGGGCAGTTGGATCTAATTTTATCTTCTGATACCAACTGGAGAAAAATGTTTGGAATAAGCTTTCTTACACAGTTCTAAAGATAGGTGTGCCTGGGCTCTGAGTTACAAAGCAATAAAAGGTAAAGTGGAAGGAGAAAGGAGGAGGGCTCTTTTATATTTCTGTATGATCTGAATTTTTTAATAGTCAGCATTTACTCAATGAAATGTGATTCTTTTAACATGTAAATTACACAGGGCGCCTGGGTGGCTCAATCAGTTTAAGGTTCAGGTCATGATCTCACGGTTGGTGAGTTGGAGCCCCACATCGGGCTCTATGCTGGTGGCTCAGAGCCTGGAGCCTGCTTCAAATTCTGTGTGTATGTCTCTCCCTGCTCCTCCCCTGTTTGCTCTCTATCTCTCAAAAAAAAAAACAAAAAAACAAAAAAACAAAAAAACGAATAAATGTTAAAAAAATTTTTTTAACATAAATTATGCAATTAAAAAATAAAATTAAAATTAACTACAGGGAAAAAAGAAGTGTCCTAATCAATTACTAGCATTTCAATTACAAAGTCTGTTTCAGTGTCTAAACCTCATTTAGGCAATTCTAACCAATTTCATTCTTCAAATTGGTAGGTGAAGAGTAGGTTAATAAAATTGCCCTTAATTACAAATCCACATTTCTACAAATAAAATCTATTTTTCAAAACTAATCTAATGAGAAGCAAAAAGATAAAATTATGAATCTAATTATACTCACTATTTTGAGAAATGTTTATGAGGCCACTAATTGTATCATATAATAGTCATCAATTAGAGCTACAGCATCCTCCTGAAATAGTAAAAGTCTTTTTTTTTTTTAAAGTAGGCTCCACTCCCAGTATGAGGCTCAAACCCACAACCCTAAGATCAAAACCTGAGATCAAGAGTCGGATGCTCAACCAACTGAGCCACCCAGGCGCCCCAACAATTCTAATTTTCAAATACTCGAGATTATCTGCAATTACCCCAAAGTGTGCCACAAAACACTCAAAATCATTAATTTATTTTAATTTTTAAAATGTGTGTGTGTGTATGCAGAACGTCATACTTGATGAGAGAATGTAGAACTTGGAAGTGAATAAACATGAAACATGTCACCTCAAAAAGGTTGTAAATCAACATCTTAAGCAACAGTCCAACAATCCTTTGGGGGAGAAGAAGCAACTACTGTAGGCAGCCTTGCCTGGAGTTTTAGGCAAGTCACACAGCTATGAGAGGCAGAGCCAGGATTCCAACCCAGGCGGCCTGGCTCAAGTCAGGCACATCAACACTTAAGTGTTCTTACCATTATGCTAAGCGGACTTTCCTTGGTCATCTCAAAGGTTTGGTTGAACACTATGCTCAAGACATTTAATTAAACACAAGCCACCATAGTACTATAGCACTAAACGCAATGCCATTTTTTTTTTTATCAACTGTAGCGACATTTTTGTGGTGACATTTTTTTCCCTTTAGTAGCAACCAGAAGAAACTAGCACTTGCATTACATGTTTAATCTTAACACAAGGATTTGAAAAAAAAAAAAGAAAGCAAAAGTTTGAGAACACCCTTAAGCATGACAGTTCAAAAAATAACAAAATACAATCCAACTTCCCAGATATGTGCTAGGAACATTACTACTCTGAGGGAAAACAAGAGAAAAAAATTATTCTTAAAAAGTATTAGATAATCTAATGGGAGTTTACATTAATGGGAGAAAGAAAAACCCTAGCAAACTCAGGGTGCATAATTTCAAGCAGAACTGTAACAAGAGAGGGGTGTCTGGGTGGCTCAGTCGGTTAAGCGTCCGACTTCAGCTCAGGTCATGATCGCACAGTCTGTGAGTTCGAACCCCGTGTCGGGCTCTGTGCTGACAGCTCAGAGCCTGGAGCCTGCTTCAGATTCTGTGTCTCCCTCTCTCTCTGACCCTCCCCCGTTCATGCTCTGTCTCTCTCTGTCTCAAAAATAAATAAAACATTAAAAAAATTAAAAAAAAAAAGAACTGTAACAAGAGAAAAATAGGCAACAAGGAGACAAAAAAACAGAAATGTCTTTGTAGGTTATATGGAGATATATCACCTCCACCTACAGTCACTCTCTATAGTAAGGCTCAGAGAACTATGGCCCTCTGGCCAAATCCAATCACTGCTTTGTTCTATAAACAGAATTTTACTGGAACTCAGCGCCACTCATTCATCTACTTATTATTGTCAATGGCTGCTTTCACACTATCACGGCAGCGTTGAGTAACTGTACCAGAGACTGTACACAAAATCTAAAATATTTACCATCTGCCTTCTTACAGAGAAAATTCGCCAACCCTTATTTTCTTTTATAGCACTTAACACTATCAAATTATTTTATTTATTTTGTTGACTCAATTATTGTCTGACTCCCCCACTGGAATGCAATCTTCATGAAGAAAAAAAACTTTGTTCTCCACTATATTTCTACCACCTAGAACAGTACATAACACATAGAAAGCACTCAGTGAAAGTGCTGAATGAATGGCGTTCACTGAGAGAAAGAAAGGAAAACAAAACTTCCACATCTTCCCATTTTCCCTTAGATGCTCTCCAACTATTCACTCCACTATCTACCAAAATGTGTCTTGTCAATTAACCACTGGATTTATCATATTGATGAGCAAGTTAATAAGTCCAATGGTTAATTCTTACCCCTCATCTTATTTGACCCAGTTGATCTATACCCCTTTCTCCATGTGACTTTCAGAACACCACATTCTCTTAGTTTTCCTCCTACCCGACAGGCCCTTCCTTAGTCTCCTTTGCTGGTGCTATCTTACTTCCTCAATCTCTAAATGCTGGCACGCTCACAACTTTCTCAGTTGGCACTTATCTAGTCTCATGACGATTCTTATGCATTTCAAACAGAATCCAAAGTCCCAAACCAATCTTTCTCCCAGAAACTGTTCAGTTATAGTGAAGAGGTTGTAATAGAGGTACTATAGTTATATTACATCTCAGGAAATGTAAATGCTTCTAGTTGCTCAAGCCAAAAGCTCTTGGGAGCCAACCAACCCTCATTCTCTTATACCCGATATCCAATCCACCACCAAACCCTGGTGGCTCTATCTTATAAATATATTCCAGGTGAATGATCCCTGCTAACCACCTCCACGGCTGCTGTCCTGGTCCAAGCCACCATCATCTCGTGCCTGGAACCATGTCACAGCCCCCGACAATTTCCCTGTGTCCCACCTTTACTCCCTTACAGTCTACTCTCAACAGAGCACCCAGGGTGATCATGTTTAAAATGTAAATCATCAAGTTGCCGGGTGCTCAAAGCCTCCAATAACTAGTTAGCTCTCTTTCCCAGTCGGTGTTAAAGTCTCACACAATTTGGTCCCCTGAAGCCTATGCCCCTTTGTTCCCTCCACCCCAGACACATAAGGCTTCCCTGACCATCCTAGAGCATGTCAAGCAAGCTTCCATTTCAGCACCTTTGCACTGGCTGAAAGGCTCTTCTGGTTTAATTAAATGAAACAGGCACTTCCATGAAGTATTGTGTCAACTAACTCAAAAAAACAAGTCTGGAGCGCCTGGATGGCTCAGTCGGTTGAGCGTCTGACTTCCGTTTGGGTCATGATCTTACGGTTGGGGACTTCAAACCCCACACTGGGCTCTGTGATGACAGCTCAGAGCCTGGACCTGCTCTGGATTCTATGTCTCCCTCTCTCTCTCTCTGCCCTTCCCTGCTCGTGTTCTGTCTTACTCTCTCAAAAGTAAATACATTAAAAAAAAAAAAAAAAGTCTGTGAGGTAGGTATCGATATCCTTACTTTAGAGATTAGGAAAGTGAAGTTTACAAGTCACCCATCTAACGAATGATGGAGTTGGGGTTCAATCCTGATTAGTGTGCACAGAAAAGTGAGCTCTCAGCAAAGTTTTGCACGCTAAAAGGAGAGGACGCTGATATTCCTCTGAAGTCACAGTGATTCCAACTGCTAAAGGTGCATGTTGATAGCAAGAAAAGGATCTGAGAAAGGGAAGCCAGAGGCAAAAGAGGACAACCCGCGGAGTAAGTTACCCAAGCCAGGAGTGGAATGTTTCAAGGAAAAGGGAGTGGTGTCAAATAGAACTGAGACATCCAAAAACCCAAGAACCACGCACATACTCATAGTAAACCACACCTGGACAGCAACCCTAATCTTGATTAAAAAAAAAAAATGTAGGGGCGCCTGGGTGGCGCAGTCGGTTAAGCGTCCGACTTCAGCCAGGTCACGATCTCGCGGTCCGTGAGTTCGAGCCCCGCGTCGGGCTCTGGGCTGATGGCTCAGAGCCTGGAGCCTGCTTCCGATTCTGTGTCTCCCTCTCTCTCTGCCCCTCACCCGTTCATGCTCTGTCTCTCTCTGTCCCAAAAAATAAATAAATGTTGAAAAAAAAAATTTAAAAAAAAAAAGTATCATCTGCCTATATTGGCCAAAGATATCCTACTTCTCTGCCGCAAGGGTGTGAAAACAGACTACAGGTAAGCATGTGATTAAGCAACACAGCTTCACACCTACGTTTTCCTCCAGTCCAAGGAAACAAAGTTTATGTGTGTGCGGTGGCCTTTAAGGGAAATGGTTGACCTTTAAACTTCAGAAGGCAAAGAAAACAGCAGTTATTTTCTTCCAAGCTCCCTGTGGGTATGTGGGACAATCGCTGTCTATATCCCAGATATTTTCGAAGAGACCAAAACGGCAGCCAGGGGCGGAGGGTGTGCTGGCCCTCACCCCAAACTGTTCCAGCATCTTCTCGCCTATGCCTCATTGCTCTCCGTCCCACAGTCACGACTGCAGATATCAACCCACCCTCTCCCTCTCATCCCCATCCCCCAGCCACATCCTAGGACTGGCCCCAGAGAAGCCCCACACCCCGCAGTGGCCCGGGCGTGAAGACCCCGCCTCACCACGGCTCCGGCCACAGCGTGGACAAGGCTTTCGTAGGACAGCACTGAGGCCATTGCTGCGGCTCCCCGCAGACCTAGCAACACTTCTCCCTCAGGCGCCGCAGCTAGCCGAGAGAGGAAAGAAGCGCCGGAGACCGGGATGTGAGCGCCACAGGCTCCACCTTCTCAGGCCCGCCTCCTCCGGAACAACCCCTTCCGGGTCTTAGCGAGCACGCTATCTCCCCGCCGGAAGCCACTGGGCTGGAAGAGGGGAAAGGCAGGCCTGGGGACGCCCCTTGGCTCTGATTGGCTCTCGGGGCCTGCATGGGCGGGGCATAGAAGCGCTGGCCCAATCATGCGGAGCAGCAGGACAGGCAGAAAGCTGGTAGCCACGCCCCGGGTCTGATGGAAGTGCCCTCACGTTCCCGGGACCTGACTGGCTGTTCTTCAACATGGGGACTTAGGGAGGCCTAGATGGCCACCTTCCCTCCGTTAAGACAGGCCGGAATCAGGCAAGATGGGGACTCAAATCTTCCTGCTTACCTGCGAGTTAACTCGTATTTTCTATCGAAAGTATTTTTAAAGTCACATTTTGTCCAAAAGGAAATACTGATTGGGCAAGGTTCTGCACTCTGAAAAACCCTGGGGTGTTGGGAAAACAAAACGGAGCTGGAGATAAAGTGATTAGATGCAGGTGGGATCATACTCGTTAGCAACTAGTAAAGTCATTTCACCCTTTTGGTTTTCTCCTTTAAGTGACAGAATTAGTTAATACAACTCCACTGCAGTAAGGATTACAAAAGCTAATTTATGTAGACGTACTTCATAAAATACTGAAGAAATAACTACATGTTGTCAAGTGAAGAACCAAACTACATAGAACTACAGAAGCCACTTTCAATCTCTAACGTAGGTCATACTGTGAGACACGATGTCTCAGGACTCCAACTGAACTCTACTGGGATGTCATTCCCATGTGTCTCTTGTCAGTTTCAGTACCAGCAAGTTTACCCTTCTAATACCCACTGTGAGAATTTTTTTAATGCTTATTTTTGAGAGAAAGAGCACGAGTGGGGTAGGGGCAGAGAGAGGGAGACACAGAATCTGAAACAGGCTCCAGGCTCTGAGATGTCAGCACAGAACCCTATGCAGGGCTCTTCCTCAGGAAACAAGAGATCATGACCTTAGCTGAACTCCCACCCAGGCGCCTCCATAATTCTTGAGTGTTTACTACATGCCAGGCTCCATGCTTTATGCGTTATCGTATTTACTCCCTGGGAGAGGGCCCAAAGAACAATGTTTCTTTGGTCATGTTTTCACAAAATTTGCGTGAAATATTTTAACCGGTACTGGTTACGATCTTCCCTTCATTTAGGACAGTGCTAGTGACCACAAGCTAAGTGAAAGGTGTATTTGGGACACAGGTGAATTCAGTGATATCTGTATGTATGGTTAAGTTACTGCTAGATATTTGGTTGTAGAAATGGCTTCTAGGAACACTCTCCCCACTCCCTAATATGACAACAGAAAGGCACAGGTCCAAAGGTCAAATGAGAATAGGCTGGTCCCTGAAGAATTTAAGCAGAAGACTCGGTTTTCACGGACTTACCAAATTGGAAGCTCTCGGTCAAGAATATACCAGACCATGTAGCATACATATTCACAAACATTTTATGAATACTTCTCCTTTATGTTGGTAAACACAACAGAATTCATCAGAACTCCCATTTGTAGGGCACCAACCCAGAGAAGGTAGCATATCAATCTGTGTATTTTTTTTTGCATCCCCAACGTTCAAAAATATTTTGATCAAGATAGCGTTATCTATCCTACTGAAAACACTACAAAATCGTTGTCATGAGTATACAGCCAAAAAGAAAAAAGTAGTAATTGCATAGTTATACCACATATTAAATCTCTGCAGTTGTGATTTTTGAGGTTTGCAATTTTTCTAATTCTAACCATTCACTTCTACACCTTAGTATTCATAATGACGTATTTTCCTTAAAGAGGGCTTCCTGAATTACAGAACTATCAAGTCTCCCACTATACAAATAGTATACAAGAAATTCTGTGTTTTTACACCCATGCCATCAAATACAAAATGAGTAAAAGGAACCTACCCAGAAATTTCATGTATCATGCTTCTACACCAGATTTATGATCCAGTTACACTGCAACCTGACAATGTTAGTGATCTGGGGGAGTACTTAAAGCCATTTTAATTATATACCAGATAACTAGCTTTTCAGAACCGTGTACATGTCTAGTTCTATTTACCTTCTTGCTACTTTCACCTAAAGAGAATGTCAAAATTCTTATAGACAACTTTATAGAAAATTTTGAATTTACACTTCCACCAGCACTACACACAAAAGGTGTCACTGAATTGCCAAGAGACTTAAAACCTTCACCAATTTCACGTTTACTCTTTCAAAAGCTTAGTGGCTATTTTAGGATTTGTTGCCTATTTATCTCAGGGTATTTTCCTCCCTGAACTATGCAAATAGGTATGCTATATTGGTTGTAAATGCTAAACTTTAAAATTACTGCATAATTTTTAAACCTTTTTTTTCTTGTCCTCATTCTTGGGCGTCACAAGCGTTCTAAGCCCTTCAAGCACGATGCTACATCCCTTACTAACCGGAGAAACCTGTTGGGTGTGCACATCAGTACACCCAGTGATGTACGATATTCCTTATTTAGCCAATCCTCCTCAAATTTCTTTCCAATTTTTAAAGTAATGAACAATCCTGCAAGAAGCAACCTTCGCCAGAGGGCAGCAGGGCATATAATTTAAGAGGAAGACCTTGGGGGCAAGGGAAGGAGGAGGACCTTTGAAGAACAAGACTAGTGAGAATATCAGCTTCACAAATCAGCAGGAGTGTTAACTTAGGCAATTTATTTTTTTTTAATGTTTATTTTTGAGAGAGAGAGAGAGAATGAGCAGGGGAGGGGCAGAGAGAGGGAGGAGAATCCCAAGCAGGCTCTGCACCGTCAGAGTGGAGCCTGATACAAGGCTGAAACTTGAGTCTTGACATCATGCTCTGAGCCAAAACCAAGAGTCGGACACTTAACTACGCCATTCACGGGCTCCAGCTTGGGCAACTTAAAGTGCTTCAGCTTCCTCATCTATATAAAATGGGAATAAGAGCACTTACCGTTATGGTCATTACCAGAATGGGGTCAATGCTTTCAAACTGATTACAGAGCACCTGGCACAGAGTGTACCTGATATAAGTACTTACTTGGATGCTTTGTTAGGTATTAGCAAACCTCTAAAATATTGTTTCTCCCTTATCCCAATTAGGCCAGCATATCCTAAGGTGGCAGCCTGCTAGCCGTTACCCCAGGTAACAACTTTTTCTTCTGTAGTTTTTTATTGGGTACATGACCACAAAGCAGTGGACTATTACTTTCTAGCTTTCCTTGCAGCTAAATATGGTCTCAAGACCAAAAAAAAAAAAAAAAAGACCAATGGAATATGAGAAGTCATTAAAATGTTAATTCTGTGGATCAGTCTCAGTATCTCAGTATGTGCTTCCCTGATGCCCTCTCCTGTTTCCTCAGGCTAGAAGATGATCATCAGAACAAACACTTTTGGACTCAGAAGCTGCCTTTGGAGTATGGCAGAACAGCTTACCTCTGGACTGCTACCTGAAAGAAAAGTAAAGCTCTGTTTAACATCTAATTTTTCTTATGAAGTCGTTGTAACAGCAGTTTATGAACTAAAGCCTACTGTGTCCAGCAAATAACTTAAGGTGAGTGCTAAAGACATAAAATAAACAGAACATGTACCGGGGAAAAAAAGTGTGTGGGGGGGTCAATATCCAGTTTGAAACCATAGTTTATTTTTAATGTAGCTAGAAATCCATTAACTATATATTTTTAAGCAGAAAAAAAAAAAAACTATTTTTCCTTCTTATAGCATTGTTAGCACAAGAAAAAAACACTTCTGGTTTAGAAATGATACTGAGTTTCTATGAAAATGAATGTACTTTGTATTTGTGGAACTTAAAAGCACAGGACACATTTTTCTGAAGACCAATTTTACTTTTACCCATTTATGGTACTATTTGCAATGTTAGAATGTATTTAAGTAATATATAATTAAGTAAATCAAACAAGGAACCCAAAAGGAACTGGTCTTCTTGAGTTATTCACAGCACACATTAGAAATTTTGAGAGAACACACATTAACAACAACAAAAAAACACTGGCAAGCTCAAACGCAAGTTTATATGCTGAGTATTTTTAAAGGGTTTAAAAAGCATGCTCAGTTAGCATACAGCCTTTTCTCACTTATATAACAGATGCATTACTATCTGTTTGTGTACAGCAAAGGATGAGAACCTGAATCAACTCACTTATGACTCCAGAAATGTGCTATTTCAGAAATGTATTCCATGAAATTTTTTTACTGGCTCCTACCACGGATTCTTCAAATAAGCAAAGTACAGAGGGTCTCATCCCTTGAAACTGTTTTTAAACACCAGCCACTTTAAGTTGAAAGATAGCTAGAAACCTAGCAATTCCTGGTACAGTGCCTGGACTTAATTAATGTAAGAGTTGAATGTACAGCAGAAAATCTATCATTTCTTTATCCTTGAAGAGAGGGAGGGAGAAAAAGGAGAGGTGGGGATATGGTGCACTATTTAAGAGATGAATAGCAGTACAATGACTCATAATAATACCATCAAATCCACAATGAAGAACCATGGATCTCATCAATTTTATAATTCACGTTGGACCAAAAAGTTTAGTTCCCCTGTAGTGTACCAATGAAGTCAAACCTCATGCTTTCCAAAATATGAAGACGAATAATGTAAGATAAACTCCAATTGCAATAGGTATTTCCTAAGTAGAGAACTGAACACAAAGGGAATCCCTCCTTCCAACATCTTTTGATATAAGCTTTCACTGAAGTGAAAACCTAACACTTAAATATGAAATCTGTTGGCCAAGTAAGAAACTACAGCTGCTATGGATATTACCTTCCATAATCATTATATGTATTACATATTAAATTAAACCCAGCATTACATATGCTTGCACAATTATGCTGTGAATGATATTAGTGATGGTGCCAGTGAAAAAGGACAATCTTTAGCCCAAAAAGAATAAGGGGACGGGGAGGCGAAAACAAATAGAAAACACACAATGAGATGGGCCATTTTCTGACTAGGAAAGGTCATTCTAAACACAGAAATACAAAAAGAAAAGTATTCCCTTATTTCCCGTGTGGAAATAATACGAAACATTTATTTCCTGTATCACACAAGAACACAGCTAAGTAATCCAACTCTACTGCAGCATTATAAAAATCATCCCTTCACCACAG